CACAAATGCGGCATCATCCCACTTGATATCAGTTGCAAGTTGTCGAAATTGCGAAGCATATAATGTTACTGATCGATTGCCTTGTTGCAAAATACGGATCTTGTTGGTTGCAACACGAATTGCATCATGTTCTCCAAACATGGATCGAAACTCCGCCAAAAAAGCCTCCAGATTATCCAATATTGGATCTCGTCGTTCAAGAAAAGATGAAAACCATGACAATGCTGAACCTGAAAGAAGTGTACCAATGAATCTTACTTGTGACCCTGGAGTTGGATAGCTCTGGGGTTGAAGTTCAATCACTAGTTGGACATGATTGATGAATCCTCGAAACTTGGATCTGGTACCATGAAACTTCTCAGGCAAGGCAACTCTCGGTTCTCTAACACTCGAAGGGTGTTCCATTCTGGGAGAAGGGACATGGTTTGGTGCAGATGTTGAAGCAGCCCCAATCATCTCTATATCTTCACTTCCTACCATTCTTGTTGCTCCTTGTGGTGGTAAATTGAGTTGATGCATCGCAAGCATTAACTCCCTCAATTGTTCTTGCATCTCTGCCATTGCACTCTTCATTTCAACAAGCTCTGCCATAGTAGCACTTAGAAAAGAGAAGATGTCTAACAACGCTCAAAACAAATAGAAGAGAGGAATTGATAACAAAGAAAATACTAAGAACAATATCAGTTTAAAAGAGGGTAATCCGCAACTTCTAATGCGCTTATGTCTTATCAAGAAAAAGGGGTAATCCACTCTTAATCAAGAAAAGACAAAGCTCTGATATTGTAAGTGTACTCTTGTCAATCTGTCAAGGACAAGAACTCGATGAAAGCTAAAGAGTAAGTGAGATTTTTCTCAAAAAGAAATAGGACAAAATAGAAATATGTATATTAAGAAAGAAACTGGAATGGCTATTGCCAAAATACAAGAAAACTAGAGACCCTTGAAACTAGACTAGAAGCAAGAAAGGAGTTGACAAGAGTGAAGAGGGCTTCACTCTTGCCTCTATATATACTATCTAACTAGAAGCCACGTGGCGATGTTCTATAAGACCTCCAATATATGTTGACTTTCTAGGCCACATGCCTTTGCTTGCAAGGCAAGTTTTCTATGGATAGACCACGTAGTTAGCTTGTTCTTTAAGCTTCCAACATGCGTGGCACATGGCTAACTTGTTGACCAAGTTTCTAACCTAAAAGTCAACTATAGACTCCTATAAAGTCAAAGCAGCGTCTATGAAGCTTCTAAGAAGCTTCTCTAGAAGATATTACACAATTAACCTACTTTTACATACTTTTATCTATTCATATAGGTAATTATATGTATGTCCGTGACACAAAGTGATATTATAAATATTTTTACAAAACTCTTTTTGAATAGTGTCATGATATAACATGACTAATAAGTGGAAAAGGTGAAGAAATTATTATATTATAGAAGTTCTTACTTCAAATATTGTAACAAATTATCTTAGAAAATAGACAATAATCCAAAAGAAAGTAAAACTAAAGATGTAAATATTATCTTTTGCAAAGTAGACTTCTAATTATTTTGTAAGGCCATAAATAAGGCAAAACAAGGTAGATTAGAAAAATAAAAGATATGAGCATATATAGGAAGAAGTTAAGAGCTGATTTTAGCAAAAATTAACTCAAAATTATAAAATTTGATATCTTGTAAGGACCAGTTATCAACTCAGATCAAAATCAAACCTTGATGCACAAAACTAGGCACCTATGAAAATTTTGGAGTTCTTTTGGAGATTGAAGAATAAGATTTGAGAGAAAACTAGATAGGGTTTCTTTAAACATTGATTTTGAGTGATTTGAGTGTATAATGACTTTGTAAGAGCTTTGCAAAATCACAATTGTTTTAGGTGATTCTAGAATTTGTGAAGTAGAAAGGATATTACGTTTTGGAGAATTTAGTGAGTTTGGTAGTAGATCAATAGTTCAAATTTTGAGAACTTATGTGAATAGTTGTCCAAAGTGTATGCTATAAGTTTGAGCTTGATTGAATGGTTGAATAGAAGGTTATTGAATTTCAAATAGGTTGAGGTCTTAGAAATTGGACTTTGAAAGGCAATTAGGGTTTCTAAGATTTTCAGCAATGTACTACTTGGATTGGAGTGAAATTTGTATATAAAGGTAATAGACTTGATTTGCTATACATATAGAAAATTTGAAAATAATTTAATAATTTAAAAAAAGAAATATTGGCGTTGGAAGCTCAATATTCAGATTTGAGTAGGAGGCCGACCAATATCCAAGCAGATTTTAGGAATTTCCTTCCATTTGGTAAGTGCAATTATCTTCAAATTTTGTATGGTTGTTGCTAACTTAATTATTCAGAAGTGTATAAAATTCTAAGCAAGATCAACATTTTAATCGATAGATATTAAGGTTCTAAATTGTGTTAGGATTATGTTGAATTGGTTAGATTTTGGTTAGGGTTTGATTTAGGATTAGGATTCAATTAGGGTTTTGGGTTTGATTAGATTTTAGTTAGGATTTAGAATTGGAATTAGGATTTGCTTAGGATTTAAGGTTTAAAGTTTGCTTAAGGCTTAGGATTTAGAGTTTGCTTAGGGTTTAGGATTTGGCCTAGGATTTGATTGAAGTCCATTAGAATTTCAACTAGGATTAAATTAGGACTTGATTGAGATTTATTTAAGATATATTTGTGATTATTCTAATATTTCTTTAGAATTTCTTAGGGATTCTTTTAAGATTTAATGTGGATTTTTTTTTGAATTCCTTTAAGATTTTTTATTGTTTCTTTTATAATTTCTTTAAGATTTCTTTTGAATTTGATTAAAGCTTGCTTAGCATTATTAAGGTTTAATTAGAATTTATTTATTATTCTATTAGAGTTAGGATTTTGTTGTTGCAATTTCCATTCTACCTTCCACAACCAGGTGCCTAGTGCATTCTTGAGCAAGACTTCATGGAATTCAACAATGGTTGATTCAAAAAATAAAAATAAGATAAGAATATGGTAGCTTATAGAAATATTTCAAACAACAATATATAAAACTATATAGGAACTTATCTCCTACAATAGAATGCTTCACTTTTGACTAAAATTACAACTATTACTTGTTTTTTCTTATCTAATTTTTATTTTATAATAAATAAAAGAGCTCAAATAAAAAAAAACAAAAAAATAAAATAAAAGAATAAACAAATAACAACAACAACAACAACAACAACAACAATTTTAAGTAGAGCCTTTTTATTTATAATTCACTTTTAAGCCTTAAATAAATATTCTTTAAAAATTATAAACCATCTTTATTTTATCCCACTAACAAATTACATCCTTTAATGATTTGTGTATTGACTCTCTTCTATTAGATTTTCAATTCTCTATGAAATTTTCTCTAATGCCTCTTTTTATTCTAAAACCTCCTAATATCAAGTAGAATGATACATCACTTAAATACCATTTCTTTCATGGATAGTAATGCAAAATCAAAAAATTGATATTAAATCCATCTAAACTTCAAATTTAACAATTGACTTTGTAATGAAATGCAATAAGCATGGTATTGAGTTTTGTTCTACAAATAGTAAAATTAAACTCTAATAATTTAAGAATTCAGTATTAATCTAAACAACCTCAATTATCATTTAAAGCTTAAGATCAAAATTAATTTGATTTAAATTGATCGTACAAACAAAGAGAAACAAAAATTAAACAAATCATAAGATTAAAATTAACTTGATTTAAATTGATCATACAAACAAAGAAAACCAAAAATCAAACAAATCTTAAGATCAAAGTTAACTTGATTTAAATTGATCATACAAACAAAGAGAAACAAAAACCAAACAAATCATAAGATCAAAATTAATTTGATTTAAATTGATCATACAAACAAAGAGAAACAAAAATCAAACAAATCATAGTTGAATCAATAAAGACCAAACCACAAGACTATCGATTGTTCAAAGAAAACAATATTGTGTTTATTGCACATTTGAAAGCAACATTGAAATGCAACATAGTGAAGTTTTAAGAACATCTAATCACTGCAAGAACCATGTAATTGAGCTCAACGGTAATTTTCAACCACTTGGTTGGTGAGGTTACAACTTTGTACTGCAACGTCAATGCCTGATGAAGCAGTGATTGACATCTACATGAAATATTAATTAAAATCAGATATTCTTATGGGACTGTTTATCTTCATGATTTATTATTTTTCACGTTCTACTTTAAGTACACTCCTTTTCAGTGAGGAATTTGATTGAAATCAGGAAATCAAGCTAAGGAGCCGATCTACGGCATGCCTCGCATGTTCCTCGGACACTACTGCTTCCCATAGATTCTTGCTAAACTCTTCAAGAAAATACTTCAATCGGAAAATGGACAGAGGACCTCACATCTTCAAATTTTACCCTGCAACTTCATCAGTGGCAAACCCTGAATAAGACTTACAACGTCCGTGTTGTTGGAAGAACGCTTTCCTATTAGCTCCACACACATGGACGCAACAGTTAAGCAAATGCAGAAAATACACTCATACGTAGTTACCACAGAACACAGGTTTTCGAAGTTACCTGCACCTCGTCAAAAAATCTTCAATACTCCACGCGAAGGTATTCGCCACATCAATGAACATCCCAAAAGGAATTTACATGATCAGATTGTAGAAATGGAAACCGGATCACAATACATTTGCAACTCCTCAAATTTACATGTGAAAATGCTCAAAGACTGACACAAAAATTAATCAAGAAATTCTCTTCCATACTTCTCGGCGCCAAGATACTTCCCGTACAAGTGCAGGCACATTTGTCCCAAATATGGCAGTGCAATAATTAAGCATCTGATTAGAACATTAAATCTACTTAATTTTTCAACATCGATCTAAAACACATATGGGCAAGGAAGAAAAGAACGTAAAAATTCATGAGATGAGCAATTACTCTCACGCTATTTGGACCCTACTAAGTTGTTATCAATAAAAAGAAGCAGCACCAGAATCCAACTAATGGTCCATGGGAAGACTGTCCTCAGTGAAAAATTAATAAAAATATATACCCACTTGAAGCTTGGCGTGCCATTTCCGTTCTTTGCAGATGAGGCAACAAAATAACAATCAATTAACCGCAAAAAAGTTTCACGCTAATACAGCTGTAGGCCATGTAGCTTGAGACGACATGATGATGCCTACAATAACTCCAAATAAACCTAGAGCACTGCCAAAGATCTCGATAACCAGAATCTTGACGAACAATGTAGAGTTCTGAGCATCTGAAAGTGCACAGCTGCTGCCTATGATACCCACGCAAAGCCTGCACTCGGAAACGGGACAACCAATGAACAGCTTCAGGATCAATGACGGATTGGATTACCATGCCGCAAGATAAGACATACCATTAATTAATCTTCAAATCAAAATGAGCATTCCGAACTTGAATGCATTCTCAGACACGAGCATTACAAATATATACCAAAAACAAGCGTTTAGAAATGAATTCTATACTTTCGATACATAAAACTGGCAATTAAACGCGAAACATATAATTTACAGATTTCATACGTTTAAGGGCAATGACTAACCCGCAAAGTAGATTTGCAAATCCAACGATGATTCCTGAAGCGAACAATGAGTAGCCAGCACGCATAGAATCAGGGTGAAAGGGTTGTTTTGTGGCCTCTAACTTGGTCTGCAGTATGATGGCTACGATCACTCCATAGATAGCCACCGCCTCGCAGAAAATGACGCTGCAGACTTTCTTACAACTCCGGTCAGTGGTGGACATAACACTGTCTAATTCAGTACCCAAAACCACCAACACAATAGGACCAAACAAACAAATAAATGAATACCCTAATACTCCAAATCCCTCAATTTACCTGATCAAATTCTTTGACGTGATCCGAGGAGCCTTGATTGCTGCACCTATGAGACTGCTCCCGGTGATATAAATTCCCCTGTCCAGCATTCCCAAACACAGAAAATTCCGATTACAAGCTAAACCTCACTTACGTGCAAGATTCGAGCAACTGGTGAAAACATAGGCTAGCAATCACATAATACCACTTCAACTTGCACTCAAACCCCACCACCATCGCAATTCTGACCTCGTTCATCCACCTCAAAGGTCTCGCTCCTCAACTTCAAACATTAACCTAAAATAACCACACTACGAATCCGACATCGAGAAATTCGGACTCTGCTTGCGTTTAACACAAGCAATCAAAACCCAAATAGACAACCACAGCTGAAAGAGCAGGTACCATGAAGCTCCGAGCACGGACACTCCGATTGAGATCGCAATTCCAATGGCAGAGTATACGTATGGGGACATGTACAGCAAAGCATGGGTCCACGCATACCACCACGCCACAAACCCCATCGATGCAGAACTGAGCTACAACAATAACAAATCTCCGCGAATCCCTCGGTCCTCCCAGATGGAACAAATCAGCAGCGACCCAATTTGTGACAGGGATCCTGGAGCCTAGAGAAGCCGACGACTTCGGTGTTGAAACAGATCCAGAGCTGCAAGCGATGACAAAATTCGAGCCCTAAACCGAGCTCCGCTTCAAACTGCGGAAGCAGAGAATGGACACAGTTGTGTGGGGTCTTGGTGGCTTTCCTGGAGGTGCAGCACCATGTTGATGAATCTAACACTGGAAGAATGAACGTTCGTCGTCTGTGCCCAGAATGAGCGGCACAGCCAGCTCGACGCAAATTCTGCATCGATCACGGAAGACCAGCGTGGAACATGAAGAAGGCGACGACCGGATCCCACCGGCTACGACCGGCTAAGACGGTCACTTCACGCTCATGAAGCTTCGGGTTGACGAATGAATGTTGTGTAACGATTTTCATCCGCCAATTCGACATCGTGTTGCCTTGCGTCACTCCACAAGTTTCATCCAAACCATGGCGGCTGAATTTCTGATAGAGTTTTGATAAGGTATTTCCTCCTTTAACAAGAATATCTATATTTATATTTATAATAAATCACATAAAAATATTTAAATTAATAAATAATTTACATATTTTATAACTTTTATATTAATTTAATATATTATTTATTTAATTTTAATAATTAATAAATAAATTATATGTTAAATTTATATATAAGTATCACATATATATATATATATATATATATATATACATAAAAGTGACATGTATATGTGTGTGTATATGTTATAGTAAAAGGACTTTAAAAATATACATGGATTGGTTTGGTTAAAGCACCAAAGAATGGCAGGTTGATAACAAAAAAATGGCTGTTCAAATCTTGGTTACAAACCTATTGCTCTATGGCTTCTACTACAGAGATAAGGACTGTTAATGTTTAAAATAAATGTATATTGGTGAATTTATTGGGTAATAAATAATAAATTGTACTTGTTGCCAAATTTTGCACATATGTGAAGAACTTGCCCACCTCAATGCCTCACCTCTATCATGTTGACATCAGATGTGGATTGCATGCCTTGTGATACATGGCTACCATGTAAATTTGTTCACCAAAAAATTGAACACATGTACAATTGCCCTTTATCAACACAATTATAAAAAAGTCCATCCTCTAGCTATTGTTGTAGCCAGTCAAATTAGCAGTATTTTTGTTTTATTTATTAAATACTCACAATAAAGATATCAAATCTTGTCTATTTAGTTCTGCGGACGGTTATTTTATAAATAGAGGGATAAAATCTGTAGCACTTTAGTCATAAGAAATGGGGGTAGTCACCAAATCTGGATAGAAAGTGTTGCACAGCATTATACTTGATTATAAGCCTACACTTAAAAAGCTAAAGAAAAAAAAACAGTCACAAAATACATGCTTGAACACAGAAGTGATATGTTGTTTATTTAAATATAATTGTTTCAAATACACAAATATGGTATAGGAGTATTGTGCAGACATATTGCATTGTTACTAAAAAGAAAGTGTTAAAATAATCGAAGTTAATGTAATATTCGATATAGTATAGATTTCTTTGCATTTATTAAGGTGAAACATTAGTCACTTTTTGTATGTAATTAAAAATTTCTGAATTGGATAATGGAAATTTCATTGGAGTGAGCTTTTTGCGTGTACTATCACAAGTAAAAGAACTTCAAAGAAACCAACAATTCTAAGGATTTGTGGGATAAAACTAAAAGCTCTTAAATTTATTTATTTGTTTTAAGTACTTGGATTTACATATTTTTATGTGGAGGTCACTTTTTTAAATAACTGATATACTTTAAATGTTCAAAAAATATGACATTAAAATGGTGGTACTATTAGGCAGGTGTAGCATGTACAAACTTGGTGCAATGTAATTGCTGTGAAGGCAAGTATGTATGACCTTGTGCACACATTTAAAATAAAAAAATTATGCATTGTTTTTGAAAAATGTTGAAATAATTCTGTAATTGATTATAAGTGAATGATGCATTGATCTAAAAAATTTGTGTTTGACAACAAGATTATTAAAAAAAATAAAAAGATTGAACAGAACTTTAAAATCATCTTTACTCTATTTTGTGTTGTGTACATCTCTTAGGGAGAGACATGCAGCAACAAATTGAAATGAGTTTGATTCAAGTGCAATAAAGACTTTTTTTTAGAAATTGTCACAAGTAACTTCAAAATTCAAAATCTTGAACAAAGTAATAGTGAACTTAACTAGAATTCATGTTACACCTCAAAGTTCATAAAAACATGTTTGTGATTGATCAAAATTATTAATTTTAAAATGGAAAAAAAGAAAGTGTACATAAATGCAATCTACTTGTTAAGATTATACAGAGTCCTAGTAAATATACATTTATTAAAAATTAACGAGCAAAAATTTTCAAGCAATCTAAAATTGGACATCCTTTATTCACAAGTCATCTAGCTAAGAAAACATTTTTATTATTCTCCCATGCCACTAAATAATCGCACTTAAAAAAATAAAAAATAAAAAGTACCCAAATTTAAAAACAAGCCACCAAACCTCGTTACCAAAGTTATAGTGCAATACAATTGAGTAAAATCACAAGCAATCTTGGTGAAAATTGCACTATTATACCATTCTCCCCATAGTTCAAATAACAAAAAAAAAAAAATAATAATAATAATAATAATAATCATAAGAATGACTACAAAGTTGGCTTTGTTTTGTTTTTTGGGGTTTCACCATCCTTTCTCATGTCTACCATTGATTTAGGAATTGCAACCTTTACTAGTCTCGGCATTATTATTATTATCATTCATCCATGAAGCAAGATATCGGATGGATAAATGAAGATCCATGGCTGGAATTTCCTTGAATTCTTCATCAAAACCGGGTTCCAAGCTCATCCTCACTTGGCGGAGCACGTGGATTTCAAGGCTTGGAGGCATCTAAAGAAGACGAAGAAGGAAGAAGCTTGGATTTCATGTGCAGGACCCACACAACTTAGTTAGACACATTGTTGTTGCATTGATGTGGTCGTGGAAGAGCAGGTTGCGAAACTCGTTGCCGAAAGGAGCAGTTAGTCAGTCGGTGTCGATGTGTGTGTGCTTGTGGATGTGGGTTGCGTCGAGAGAAACATGAGTCCAGTGGGAGAACCATTAGCAGCATCAGGAGCAGCATCTCTGGGAAGTTGTGAAATGGAGGAGGTGGATTTGGAGGTTGAGCACGGCGTAAGGGATGTGTAGGTGTTTGTGTGTCTACGAGGATTTTGCCGAGGGATGGTGATGCGTAGGAGGAGCAGCAGGTATAGGAAGGAGTTGGAGAGTGGGTCTGGTTTGGAGGGTCAACGCTCTTAGCCATGCCTCACAAGGAGGATGTGGCATGGTGGCGCCCTCTCTTCCTAATCGCGCTGATGCCCATCGGAGTATTGGGCAATGTCGAGGGTCAGTTGCTGTCTAACTCTGGGCTGGGTCTTGCCCATTTGGGGTTCATGATGTCGGGTTTAGTCGGCAACCTGCGAATGCATACGAAGGGAAGTGTTGAAGAAGATTTTATGTGGTTTGAGCTGGTGTAGTTGTGGGGTCCAGAGGGGGATGTTGGCACAGAGTGACAGACCTCTTCCCTGGAATTGTTGGACCGTAATTGCTAGATTCCACGTGAATTGCTCCAGTGGGATTTGCAATTCCAGGTGTGTTGAAATAGGACTACTATCATTTTGGTGGGTCATATTGAGGTGTGAAATGCTGGCCTGTTGCTGGACCCAGCGTTGACTCAACTGGTTGTTCATGTGCAGCTGGGATGGCTCACAATTTGCCTCCGCTGTTAATCTGAGCTATGTTTAGGGTTTATTTACTCCGCATCACACAGGATAAATGTTCTCTCCGAGTCTCGCTCTCTTTTCTTTTCTCTCCCTCTCGCTCCCTCCCGTCGTGGAATACTGCAATCTATGTCCGTAGATATGAGGGTGAGAGAGAGATTAGAAGCAATTTGGATTCCATGCAAAGTCAAACATACATATTCTAACGTTTTTTTTTTTTTTTTTTTTTTTTTTTTTGTCTATGAAAGCATTTACACCTTTCTACGCATATCTTGGTTTCAGCATACTACAGTCGTTTGATGAAGCGTACACTATATAGTTTAATCTAACGCTCCCACTCGGGAATTACGCCCGGTGATACAGTCACAAACGTAGAAATGGTCTGGTGGAATTGATTCCGTACAAGTGGTGGCTCCGTATGAAATCTAGTGTAGTGCTTCCTATTGTCAACAATCGCTGTGTTTTATGCATTTCATTTTGAGGTTGTGCGAGTCAGGTGCTGTAAGCGCACCCTTCTTAGTGAAGTTTCTTTTAATTACAAATATAGAGAAGTTGTTCTGTAATTGCAGAATCTTTATATGTCAAGCCTGCTTATCACGGCGTGGGATGTTGGCTGTGCAGGAGATGCACTCAATGCTTTTCGGCAAAATTTGATTGATAATGGCAACGTGCTGCAGAGTTGGGTGCCAGATCTTGTAAACCCCTGCACTTGGTTTTATATTACCTGCAATGACGAATTGAACGTCATTCGAGTGTGAGTCTGTTTTGTACCTCGTCCTCTAATTGCATCTACGACTTGGACTTCTACACATATATTTCGTAATTTGATTTTCCTTAGTCTTTGCATATGCACACCACATTCAATTTGGAGTGGACCGACTCTTGTAGCTTCACGCAGCCATGTGAATCTGTGAATTGTTCACTGTCTTTTTTTTTCTCCTTCGTTTTGTTTCGCGTAGACTTTAGTAAGAGTGCTATTAATCATATGAAATTACTATATCACTCAGAATTGAGAGAGCTGCAAATCTCAGTAAGGCAAAGCAAGTGATTCTATCTTTTTTTTTAAAAAATTTACTTCAAATTTTAATTTTCTTTTCAGGGATTTAGGAAATGCTGGTTTATCAGGAACATTAGTGCCGCAACTTGGGGTCCTTACGAAGCTACAATACCTGTGAGTACGCTGGACAGCTATTATATTGGCATCGGAAGCCGCAAACGTTTCTATGTTTACTGCTTTGTAAGTTACACGTAATGATAGAAAAGCTTACTGAAGCAGATATCTGCTTAGAGAGGCGACCTTTCAAGAAGAGGGGCTGGTTTCTATTTTGAATCTTTATTTCTGATGCAATTTTCGCTATCATCATCGCAGGGTGTTGTATAGTAACAACATTACTGGTCAAATTCCTAAAGAGCTGGGAAACATCAGTGCTCTTGTTAGTCTGGATCTTTATCAAAACAACTTTACTGGCCCAATACCAGATAGTCTTGGACAGCTGAGCAATCTCCGATTTCTGTACGTTTTCATAACATTCAGTGTTGATGTATTTACTTAATGCGATTTTTTTTGATTTCATCCTCACTAATTGCGCTGTTGGTTAGATGCCGGAAGTTTGTTATAGCCCTTTAACCGTCTTTTGCTTGTTAAGAATAATTGGTATTGATGATCATGTGTGTTTTATCAACCAAGTTCTAGTCTATTTAAGTTTTGAGAATGGCACTTCTATAAAGATTGAATGTAATGCTATATTCTCCTTCGATATCTCCTCTATGAGCTTGGTTCTGAAGAATCTTGGCTTTTTTTGCATATGGATGTGTCTTGTGAATCGAGGACAGTCGGTTGAACAACAATAGCTTGACCGGATCCATTCCTGCTTCTCTTACCGCCATTCAAGGATTGCAAGTCTTGTAAGTTCCTTACGGTCTTCATCTTCTTAGGAGCCTGTTATGATACTCGCTGCATTTTCTCGTTGTCCCGATTCTCCTAAATTTACTCAGATTCACTACAGTCGTAGTTTTGGGTTTGTAGTCTTGTTTGTAACTCTTGCTACTACGAAGTGCAGGGATCTCTCGTACAATAAGTTATCTGGACCCGTTCCTACGTATGGCTCCTTTTCATTATTCACACCCATCAGGTACTACAATCCCTTTTACTATTTCCTCAGTAATCACCTTCAGAGTCTAACAGCTGTTTGAAGTTGCTAGCGTCAGCTTACACCAACTTCATAAGCAGGTCTCTTGACCCACATTGAACAATTATCTTAAACACCTGAGATGATCCGTGGTAATCTGACAAGATTTAAACTATATCAATTTCACATTTAATAACAATGTATGTGAAGTTGCCCATCATATGCTCATGTTTGGGCGCCTCAATGGGCACTTCTGAAAACAGGTAGAGATTCTGGAATCATTTGAGCTTTTCCCCTTGTGTCATGTGATCTATGAATTTGATAATGCTTTGACTAGTGAACACGGTCTCGAATTACATTATTTGCGTCGTATGCAGTTTTTTGGGAAATGACGGTCTGTGCGGATCAGTGGTCGGCAAACCGTGCCCTGGAGAACCCCCATTCCCACCTCCTCCTCCGTTCACGCCTCCACCTCCACAAAGTACATATTGGCAGTCGGGTATGTATTTGCGGGAAGTCCTGAGCGTTGTAGTGTCTGGATCGTACTGAAGTACACTATTCTGGGAAACGGTCCAGATCTTAATTACTTGATTGTGTACACGGGGTTGATAGAAAGGCCAGTAATATTGACGTCCGATCAGAGATTTATCTGAATAGAAAATGTAGTATTATCCTAGCACCTGGTATCTGTTAGTGTATTCCCTTTCCATTCCCTGTTTCTCATGGTTTGGTACTAGATTACCGTTTTCTGTATTGATCATCAGTATTGGTATATACGGTTGGTAACACTTAAGAAGTGAACGGCACTCTCATTTTTAGGGCTTCGTAGATTTTGACAGCATGTGTTTTACATTCTCTCATGCTTCATGCAGCGAAAGGTCAACAAACAAGTACAGGAGCTATTGCAGGTGGTGTTGCCGCAGGTGCCGCTTTGTTATTCTCGATTCCTGCCATTGCTTATGCGTGGTGGCGTCGCCGGAGGCCCCTTGATGCCTTCTTTGATGTTGCTGGTAACTGTTGAGATTGTGAAGCTAATCTCGAATAAACTATAGTTATTCTACTTTTTCTGCAGCTTTTAGGACCGTTTTCGAAAAGATTCTAGTGTTATTGTGATTATGGTTCTATTATTATTATTATTATTATTATTATTTACCATGGTATTTCTTTAAAAGGAGTGAGGGTAACTATATGATACACTTTCTTAAATTTATGTGACCAAGGCTTATTAGTAGTCCCTTTTAACTGAATTATCAGTCAGAAATAATCTTTAGCGAGGAGGCGCTATCACAAATCTTTAAATCTGGAGTTTCTATCGTTGAAGTGCCACTTCTGTTGAAGTTACTGGCCGTAGACTACGTCATTGGTTGATTAGTTGCTTGCTTTCTGCTAGTTCTGGTTTCGAAGGCGTCTGAAAGTTTAGATGATAACATTTGTTCTACATCCTTTATTCTTCAGTACGTGAACTATGCCATAAGGTGCAGCTGAACCTGCCATATTCAGTCCATGTATTCTAACAATCAATTCTTCATGATTACAGCTGAAGAAGATCCAGAGATGCAATTAGGACAGCTTAGACGTCATAGTCTGAGAGAGCTTCAGGTGGCAACAGACGACTTCAGCGACAGAAACATTTTAGGTCGTGGTGGGTTTGGAATGGTTTATAAAGGCCGATTAGCAGACGGGACGCTCGTGGCTATCAAACGCCTCAAAGAGCAACGCTCTCCTCGAGGAGAGCTGCAGTTTCAAAATGAGGTATACCCTGCAGCCAAAGCACTTAATTAGCTAAGTCGACCACAGTTTCTAGGCTCTACGTGATATCAGTCGGCACGATTTAGATGCAGATTTAAGGCCCTTACTACTTGACATTGCTTCTGATTCTAACATCAAAGATGCATGGCGAATCAGGTTGAGATGATTAGTATGGCAGTACACCGAAATTTATTACGGCTTCGTGGATACTGCACTTCCTCTACCGAACGGTTGCTTGTGTACCCGTACATGGGGAATGGGAGTGTTGCCTCTCGATTGCGAGGTCTGTTTCCATTATATCCTGAGAAATTTGCTGATTACACTTGATGATCTCTCAGGTCAAGATTTCGGTAGTTCTTACTCTTGTAAATAGGAGGTTTGTGCAACAAGTTCATTTTTCACAAGAACTTGTGGATTTGTGCAGAACGTGTGGATGGAGAGCGCCCTCTGAGTTGGCAGACTAGGAAGAAAATTGCACTAGGAGCTGCCCGAGGGCTATCGTACTTGCACGATCATTGTGACCCAAAAATTATCCATCGTGATGTTAAGGCTGCCAACATTCTCTTGGACGAAGAATTTGAAGCAGTAATGGGAGATTTTGGTCTTGCTAAACTGATGGATTATAAAGACGCACATGTCACGACTGCTGTGGTTGGGACTATCGGCCACATAGCACCAGAATATCTTTCCACTGGAAAATCGTCGGAGAAGACGGACGTTTTTGGGTATGGAATCTTTTTACTGGAGCTTGTCACTGGGCGACGTGCTTTTGACTTGTCCGGCATGGCTAATGCTGGTGGTGCGATGCTCTTGGATTGGGTAAGCTGTGCATGATTACTATCTACAATGGTCATCTTATGCTACCATGTTTTTGGGTGAGGTCACGATATATAATACTGCGAAATTGAGGTGTGCTTGAATTGTCGACGAATTTGCATGGATGGTGAGACTTGGGACTTCCGCTACACACTGGGTTCATTAGCTCTGTTCAAGGATTCGTTCTGACCAACACTCTGAACGATGTAATCAGGTGACAAATTTATTGGGGGAACATAAGATCTATATTCTGGTAGACCCTGATCTTGAGAAAAATTACGATGAGGAAGAAGTTGAAGAGCTAATTCAGGTAAAATTGTAGATGTAATTTTTCAATTCATGTTCTTAGCAGGCATCGTGCACTAGAATTTAACGGATTGATAAATGTGTAGTACGTTCTGTTTCAAAATTAGCAGGTCTTAACGAACTTTTTGTCGAGACATTATTAGTTGCCATTTATGTTTAGCCCAATTTAGCCCCAAAATCCTTTATTTTGTTTATAAGTCGCGACAGAAATTGCTATACACCTACAATGTTTATTCTGTAATAGGTGAAACCTTTCTAAAATATTGGGTGTCAATATTTACTTCCTGGCGCAGGTAGCACTACTCTGCACTCAAGGCTCTCCAGTAGATCGGCCAAAAATGGGTGATGTTGTGCACATTCTGGAAGGAGATGGTCTAGCAGAGCGCTGGGAGGAATGGCAGAAGGTGGAAGTTATTCGGAAGCAAGACTACGATATGCCAACCCGCCAAACATCACAATGGATTTTAGATTCCACAGAGAATCTTCATGCTGTTGAACTTTCTGGTCCGAGATGATATGCAGGTTTGTAATGTTACGCAAATGTTTCTCTGCGTTGTAATTTTATTGGTCCTAGTGGTTTTTTTTTTTTTATTTATTTAAAAAAAAACCAATACTATTTTAGAGCCTTTGGCATGTGCTCTTGTATGAGAGCTTCGGTGTATGATCCCGCTTCATATTCTTGGCATGCATATTTTCACAGAACGTAGATCAGTGAATTGAGGTGTCCGGCGAGATCTTGAGATTATTATTGCTGCAACAGAAGATTTTGAAGACCTATTTGTAGGCAGTGTTTGATCAACACTTAAATCAGGGTTAACCTCTGGTACAAGGACAGGGTGGGACATTCGAATTCCAGCAAGGCAAGTCCATGTAGAGTGTAGATGCGTTTGTTGGGAATTATTCTTAAATCAAAGTGCTGTGATTGTCCAGGGTTCCTTACATGTACCTTGTCTATGTTTTAAAGAAAAACGACTGCACATTTGGAGATGTGTTATTGCCTCTTAAATCGAGCTCCATCTAATTTATTTCTTCAAGCCAGACGAGGACCTCCATGTTATGGATTGTGTCGTAATTTCGATGTTTACGATTGTCTGTTCCTGAGCTTTTGGTGAGGAGATGGCCTAGGATTTTATGAAGGTCTACTTTTCCCTTTTTCCTGACCTGCTCTTGCTTTCATGCAGTGGAACAACCTGTTTTGCAATGACTCGATGCTGTGGTTGGAACAACCTGCTTTGCAATGACTCGATGCTGTGGTTGAAGCAATGCTAGCCGTTGTACTGCTAATTATCGTAACCTTAACAACCCAATGAGCTTATGAACAATAGTGCATGATCTTTTTGAGTCAACCGAGGGTGCAAAGTTGTGAATGGTTTGAGAAGGCATTTCTGGTGAGGACGTCTCCCCAGAAGCGCTCTATAAATTTAGTCACTGACCCATGGTGATTCTAATTCTGCGCACACTTAGAAAAGTGGTAATGAATCAAGCATTCAATAGATCTGCTATGATGTCACCTGCTCTTTAGACCGGTGGTACAGTGGTTGATAAACTCATACCAACCCAATTATTTCCAAGTAGATTAAAGGACGTCCCTACACTGCCGTTCTCCTTCAGTCTCTACAAAAAAAAAAAAAAAAAAAAAAAAAAAAATTCAAGTGCAAGCGCGTGCAGCAGATGGTTGTTCTTATGGCGATAGACAGAGTTTGGCGCATGACCTGCTTCACACAACCGAATCGAAGATTGCTCTGCTCGGTAAAATTGAGCACGCAGTTTTCTGAAACGACCTGTACCTGCAATTTGCAGGTTTGATGCTACGGTAATTCTTCTGCGATTCGCTGGAACATGGACATTTCCTGTGAGGGGTTTCTGTACAAACCATCTGATGTCTGCCGAAGTACAAGGATTACATGCTGCTGGTCTGGTAAAAAAGCACAGTACTGAGCATGGAACCAGACAACAAGCCAGGGTTCTTTCCGTGTCTGCTATCACAGATTAGCACACTTGAGCTACTGCTCCGGAGCCTGAGTTGTCCCCAACAAGAAAGTACGTTTGTTGAATCCCCCCTCCCCCCACCCCCTTTTGCCGCTGTTTCAGAGCCATTTAATGAGCCGGTCTTCGTTTTTCTCCCGAATTATTACAAACATCATCATGCTTCAATATTGACGATCCGGGTATACCCACAACTGTGATTCTGATGAGCTGCACCCACATTCGACCCCCAAACGCCGAGATTTTATGGCTCTTTTCTGTTTTGTGGGTTGCATTGATGATGAGCGCGGTTGTTTGGAATTGGGTAGAAGAGACTTGATGGAGGCCAGAACACCTGCAAGCTCAAGGAGAAGGGGGCTGGATCATGAGGGCAAGGCCGCCAAATGAATACACTGGGTACACTGCGCCTCCCATTCAACCAGGTTGCAGACAGTCTCCACACTCATTCTGCAGTTCCTCGGCTTGCACTGACACGGCGCGGCTTCGCCGAAAACCCCCTCCCCCCAAGTCAACTACTTGCCACGTCATTTTTAGCATAATAATTCTTTTATTAACCCGTAGGGTCTGTGATTCTGTTATGATTATTAATACTATTATGATCGTTACTAGTACTACTTTAAAAAAAAGCCAAGTAGAGTAAATTATATATTTCATTAGACTGAACTAACGTTTCTTTAATTTTGTTGTAAGGATCCCACTCGAACAAATATATAGTTTTTGACTTTTTAGTTTGTTGATTGAATGATTAGTCAAATGTTTTCAAGGGCTCCTTTAGTTGTATGATGAATTTTCATTGTTGTGCCTTGCTCCTAAATATATGCATTATTTGATGCGTTCAAAGATATATAGTGCAATAGGATAAAGTTTCAGGCCCAAGTAGCACAGTTGAACACATTCAATATCCAACATATTCACCAAACTCATTTAAGAAAGAATCAATGTATGTATGTATGTGTCTGTACACATACACAAATGTGTATAAAGTTTCTTGTATTGTTTGGAATTGGAACTGCCCACCCACACGATCACACTGCATAGTATACATGAAAACTTATCAGTATAAGCTTTTTTTATCATTCTGATGAAAATATAAATAGATTCCAAATTCTACTGATATTAAATGGATAATAGAAATGAATCAAACAATCTGTATACAACCTGTTAGATATGTCAACCTGCATTAGAATGTCATTTGGAAATGAGAAAGATAAAAAGAATGATACATGTTTGTTGGAATGTTCGTGTACTTTTGAAATATAATTTATCATGCAAAATGTATCGAGGAATGTATGAAATATATATATGTCCTCAGTATAACTTTCAAAGTTAATCGGTTTTTCATAAAAGATTAAAAATTAAACATGGATGGATGAAGTTATCTTGAATGAACGTATTCTATGCCACAAAGAACGAAATCCTTACAACTAGCAAATCGATCTTTAAAGTGTTGAGAGCATTAAATGTAGCCGGCACTCTCCATAATATTTAATATAGACTATAGTAAATATTGTAGCTAAAGTATTTGGAATGTAGTGGAGAAGAATTGTTTATCTTCTTCATTTCTCCTCTTATATACAAGACACAACTAGATCAAGTAATTTTTATGTGTGAAGCTCTCTCCTTAGAAACCCTCTTGTGTGTATTACTTACTATTACTCTTGTATGTGTGAGTATGTATTACTTACTACTACTCTTGTGTCTTTATAAACATTCTCAATACATTATCAACACAACTCTCTTCTACACACTATCACAATGTTTTTTGATCTACTCTTTAAACTTATTGCTACTCTTGCTCCATGTCTAACTCATGATCTTGATGCACTTTTAGCTGGCCCCTCACACATTCGTTGCTTGCTTAGAGTACTTACTCCACCCTCTGCCTTGCTTGTTTAGAATACTTGCTCCAGCCCAACCTCCCTGCTGCGCCTCACGCATACCACCGAATTGTCACCAAACTGCCGCCAATTGCCACCGACCTTATGGCTATCACTACTGCCCACTGCCACCTTGTCGCCACCATCCTACTATTGCTCTACTGCCACAATCCACAACCTTGTTAAAAATAATAATAATAAAATATAATAATAATAATAATAATAATAACATTTTTTATTTTAAAATTTAAATTTATTATTTTATTTGACTTTATATTTTAAGGTATATTTTACTTAACTTTTTTACTTGATCTTGTATTTTCTTTACAGATTTATTTATAATGAGTGCTTCAACATCTTCAACTGCTTCTACTATGGTTTCAACTATTACTAGTACATCCCAACATTTTTTAAGTTCTTTTATTTCCACCATTGATTGTGGATGGAAATAATTATCTATTATGGATAAAAATGGTAAAAATAAATTTATCTATAGAACAACTCTCGGATGCCATTATATTTGAAGAATCTCTTACAATAAGTATTTCTATTCCTCTTGCTATTTGTTGGAAAGTACATCTTCTCCTTCATCATCATCTTGTACCTCCATTACAACATCAATATTTGGAAATGGAAGATCTTGCAGAACTTTGGAAGAATCTTAAATCCAGGTGTGATCATCAAAAGACCATTTTCCTTCTATGTGCATGTCATAATTGGACACATTCATATGTCTTGGATTTTCCAAATTTAAATACTTTCAATAGTGAAATGTATAGTATTATCTCATAATTACGATTATATTGACAAAGCATCTCTGAAGAAGAAATGATTGAAGAAACTTTATCTACATTTCCTCCTGTATTTGTTGTGCTTGCACAACAATACATGAGCATGAAATTTCAGAGTCATTCTGATCTCATGTCTTATCTACTTCTTGCGGAGAAGCTAAATGAGCTACTCTTGCGTAATGTGGAAGCTCGTCCTATTGGAACCACAGTTCTAGAATCTCATGCACTTAATATTTCAAAGTCAAAGAAAAAATTATATAAACATGGAAAACGTGCTTATAAGTATTAAGGTAGTCATAATCATGACCATTTTTATCCATATGGAAAGAATAAATGTTCTACTATTAATTATATTAAAAAATAAAAATCAGAGATGCATTATTGCCATAAGTATGGAATGATTGGACATTTAGCACATGTGTGCCGTACTTCAAAATATTTTATTAAAATGTTCCAAGAAAATAAGAAACTACGAGCTAAGGCTTATGAAGTTCATACTATGGATACATCCATGGATTCAATTGTTGCTGATGACTTAGAAGCTAATATGAATGACAAAACCTCTAATGATGAATCAAATGATGCATTCATTGATTCTGCAACAATACATACTATCCCATGGGATATATGATTTTTTATTGAAAAATCTTCAACTTGGCAAACTAAAAATATGATGACCATGACTAGAGCAAATACATTTTGTTTCTAAGACAGTTTAGTGATGGTAAAATTACTTGCGGGTTCCATCATAAAATGTAAATATATGATGTTTACACCCTTAACACCTTGGAGTTTAATTAGCTATCAAGATGTGCATAGCAATGGTTATCACCTCTTGACTACCATTTTAAATAGAAAAGAGGTTTTGATTCATGCGAAGAACCATAAAATTGTTGAAAAAGCTTTTGCTACAGAAAATGGTTTATATCAAATTGTGATTTGGCCTCCCATTATATTTAATTTTGCATCATCTATTACAGAGAGTCATGCTTTTCTCTAGCATGGATGATTGGGACATCCAAGATCTACAATATTTAGAAAGATCATTCCATGTATAACTGGGTATAATTTAAAACTTGTCGATGTAGACTCTATGAAATTATGTTGTGTATGTAATCAAGGTAAAATGATTACTCGGCCTTCAATTTGGAAACTCTCACAATAAATACCACCAATGCTTGAAAGATTGCATTGTGATATTTGTGGTCATATTAATCCAATATCGAGACTATTTTGTTATTTTTTGGTCCTTGTAGATACATCATGTAAACAATCATATATTTCATTATTATCAACTCAAAACATAGTGTTTGCCAATCTTATATCTATGCTTATTTGTTTTCAAGCATAATTTCTTGATTATACTATAAAAATATTGTATATG